CATCATGGTGACTATATAAATAATAGTCTAGATTTCTCAATAATCTCAATGTCTACATCAAGATCTATCAAGTAAGGAATAACCACGTAGGATCTTATCATAGCTAAGGTCCGTTTGGTATACAAAGTATATTGTTTAGAAATCTCACTTTAAACACCTCGTTAAATCCATCATAGTCATCACTCTCGTAAGTAGATCATTCAGTATAATGACTTGGAATTACTTATAAATCTTATTTATATGTTTATAATAATGACTTATGACTATAAATATAAGTTACACTGAAAGCGATAGAGTGTAGCTTAACTTATAGAGATTTTAAGCAAAAACCGGGAGATTTTGCGGACAGAATTCCGAAACCAAAAGCTTCTACTTAGTGGGGCTCTCTGATGCTCCAAAGCTCTGCTATGGACCCTCAAAAACTTCTGAAGTCGATCTTAGAGAATTTGGTAGGTTTAAGGAGAAAAGATGTGACAAATGAGCAAGAAAACAAGGGCATATATAGCCTGCCAGCCAGGTGTGCCACGCACACACGTCTGGGTGGCTCCTCTGGTTGTTTTCCATGTGTCAGAATATTGGTGGTCCACCTCACCCCCTTCTAGAATGAGCCACATGTCCGCTTCTTATGGTGCTACGTGTTGCAACCTCGTGGTGTAACATCGTCGTTCTCTCGGAGAACTCAGTCTCCCAACAATGCCACATGGCATCCTCTCGTTCTGCCACGTCATCAGAGAGCGTTGGGCACAAATTTCTAGATTTTCGAAAAACATAACATCTTCATACGAGCTCCGTTTTCAACGTTTTTTTATCCCCGGAATCCCCTCAGCGAGACCTACAACTTTCCTTTAGACCTCAACACCTAATTCTTGATCTAGCTAAAATTCACATTTTAGACCGGTTTAGAGTGTTACAGTTCGTGCAAAATTCATATTTCCTTCATACGAACTCCGCTCTTGACTATCTTTATACCGACGCTCTCATATGTACGTGATCTTCGATTCTCATGTAGATTGTTTAGGCTAACAATCATTCGATCTTAAATTCGATTTCTGTGTCGCACACTGCTATACCAAGTCGTATAGAATCTTCAAAAAAATCATAACTTCTTCATATGAAGTCAGATTTAGACGTTCTGCCTATGCACGAGTTCGCTTTCTTGTTTTCTACGACTTTTGTTCAGATTAGTTATGCTAATAAGAAACCTATCTCCAAGTCACTATTTACGACATAATGCTTGAACTCGAAACTCCGGAAGGTCGTAACGTCTTCACTCGAAGTCGGATATGAGCATCCTTTATGTGTATGAAATACTCGTCACATATACTATAATTTTGATTAAGAGTATTTATCCTAAATAATCTTCTACCGAAAAGTCATTTTTATTACTTATAATACCTTAATTGATTAGATCGGATCTACGGGCGTCACATGATGGGCTGAAAAGATATCATTGCCCCATATCGTATGACTAATTCTCATCTGTGAGCAACAATTTTTCAGTGTAAGAAGTTAAGATGAGGCATATATGTAAAGATTATAAATATGAATCATGAACAATATGAACACATAGGACAAAGAGAGATGAATCAATAAATATATAACAATCGAATTCATCAACATCTATTAAAGAACATAGATAATGCATTTTCTTCAACTTTACACTAAAAAAGACATACATAAACCTTCGGAACCTCAACGAATATCTACCTTACATCAATCTATGAATAAATTAATTTTTAGGGCAAAAGAAGCTAATTAGAAGACGAATTGTATTCATTAATTGAAAATTTGGAGAAGCCATGTTGAAACACGTTATCTTAAATGGATTTCAAGACTGTCCACACACAAATTTTGAGTCTACAGTTAGCTTTTCTTAATGATTGCTTACATAGAACCCTAAGTTTCGTTTGAGCCATAATATTTCGGGCTCAGAGTAATATGAACGTTGGGAAGGATTTAGGGGTAGCTAAGATGATTTTGCTAATTGACTTCAGATATACCAAGTAAGAACCCTAATTTCAGATGACGAAGAAGGCGACATAATAAAATTGAATGAACGGAAATAAACCACGGGATAAACGAAAAAATTAAACGAACGGAAAGAAGAACATGATAGAATCACAAGCAGTAGGTTATTGTCGTTGGTAGAATTCGAGAAGATGGTGCGGACGGCGGTAGTTGGCAGTCGTTGGTGTGGAGTTACTCCTCTGGTAGTGGCCGAGATTCGCAATGATTGTCAGTTTTCTGAGTTCTTCTGCAAGCGGTGGGTTTTGGAAGAATCGAGGATAACTGTGAAGAAGTTGATAGAACCAATTGCAAATTAGTCGAAACTAAAGAGATGGAGTCGACTAAACAAAAGTCACCTGCTTCAAACCAACCAAGGAGAAGATGGTTTGGCTCGGCTAAAATCTTGTAACTATTCATAAAATACCTTACAATTAATTGTATGATAAATGAAATTTTTAAAAAAAAAAATGAATATGACATAATACATGAGCATCGATTTTTTGTGGTAAAAAACATGCGCCCCTAAAAATAGACAAATGATTTTTATGTTGGAAAGTATATAATGACATAAGAAAATGTCACTAACACTTAAAAATGATGTAATGTCGTAAAAACGAAGTGACATTAAAATCTGCTTCGTGGCCACAACCAAAAAAATGTCAATAAAGATTTCTAATGTAAACTTTTTTTTGTCGTTATTACCAAAAAAAAGCTATTAGTGGTACTTTTTTGGTATTTAGTGGATTTTTGTGTGCCATTAAATATCATTTTTATTTGTAATGCTAATATTGATGTTTAACTCGATTACAAATCAATTTGGTACGATTTTCTTATGTATAACAAAGCCTAATCTAATGTCTAGATATCTCTTTTATCCAATTACAGTAAGATTTGTAATACTTATAAGTTATAACTTATAACCCAAAAATTAAATCAATATTGGTACGATTTTTAGTTCTGTGTGTATATCGATATTGCTGAGTTTGGATTCGATCTAATTTCAACCAAATGAATATCCTTGATTGCAAGCCTTTAAAATAATTGCTTAACTTTACTTCAAACAGAACTTTCGGAAGTAAAAAATATATTGCACCATTAATCTGAATATTAATTTGAATTAATTTGAGAAATGAGCATAATACAACCCAACATTGAATTATATCAATAATCTTTTAGGATAATTAGAAACCATGTAAATATGACAGAACTGGGCTTTCATGAATCATGGAAGATAGCCACCATGACCACCACCAGCCCCATTGCCACCACCACCTCCTCCTCCTCCTCCACCACCTCCTCCCCCACCACCTCCACCACTACCATATGCACCACCGTATGCTCCTCCTGCACCGCCACCTTCTCCACCGCCACTTCCATATCCACCTGCGCCACCACCTCCTGGTCCTCCACCACCTCCTGATCCTCCACCACCTCCACCTCCCTGTCCTCCTCCACCACCGGACCCATGACCATTCTCCCCACCGGCTCCATACCCACCACCGCTACCACTTCCCGCACCTCCACCGTAACCTCCTGCATGCTCCCCACCAGCCCCATAGTACCCACCACTACCACCGCCACTCCCTCCACCACCTCCACCTCCATACCCACTACCATGTTCTCCATACCCACCATACCCTGAACCACTTCCCGTACCACCACCACCACCACCTCCATAACTAGGAACATGTTCATACCCACCACCACCAGCATATCCACCTCCACCACCTTGGCCCCCACCGCCACCACCGCCATATCCTCCACCATGTTCACCTCCTCCTCCATACCCACTACCACTACCACTCCCGGAACCCTGACCACCACCTCCATACGAACCATATCCAGGCCCAACATGTCCACCTCCACCTCCACCACTACCACTACCACTACCTCCTCCACCACCACCGATACTCTCATAACTGAAAAGTGATCTGCTGGCGGAGCAAATGCCAATGCAAAAGAAGACAAAGAAAACACTAAGAACAACTTTCCGAGAAGCCATTTTAGGAAAGTTTGAGTAACTACAAAGATCTTGAAATGCTATTTATAGGAATTCCGAGGAAGCTAGACGTCAAAAACTATGAATGAGTATGCACATGGTGACTTGAAAGTGGGTGTATCGATCCCATATTGGGTCCAGCCTCCACCTACCTACGGCGCACTTCACCGAGAGAGCTAGCGCACCACGGATCGACATTTATATATATGGACCAATTTTGCTGTCACCCACATCTTATCATCATTTTAAACCATTTTAAAATAAAACGTTACACTATTTTAGCTAATTTACTTAATTAAAAGGTATGTGGTCTAGTAAAATTAAAACGTTACACCACTATTACAATTTTTTGTTGCATGAAACATATATTCATTCTTCATCTCAAGTATGTATGAAAGACGTAAATTCACTCTTTACTTTACATTTACTTATTCTTGATTCCTCTTTATATGCCCCCTATCATGCTTGTCTCCAACAACCAATGGGTTAAAGATTAAAAAAAAAAATGACAATGGTAACTTGACACATGATTTTAACTTTTTGATAATTTAGTGGATGATATTATATTTATAGGAAGACAGCTAAATACCCATTTCATTTTCTTTGTGGGCACTATGCTTCCTCCCCATGTGATATACTCAAATCATTAGTTTCATCCAAAAGGATGCCAAGTCAACCCTTGTACATTACTCTTTAAATGGAACCAAAACTTTTGTTAAAAGCTAAGTGTTATGGACACCAAGCAATAGCATATAGCTTATGTCACATACTCTCATTAGAACGTGCACTTGGGCCATTCTGCAAACCCTAAGCCCAACCCCAATCTTCAGGCTCGGACCCATGCACAAGCCCATCTTAATCTCTACCCATAGACATCAAAGCCCAATTCTTAGTCCAAGTTCTAGGTTAGGTAATGAAAGCCACATGATACAAAAAGACAAGTGTGGCACAAATCATTTAACATAAGTGGACAAAAATATAGTGGGAGATAAAAATGAGATTTTCCCACCACTTTACCATTGATTACACGTTAGGTATTGACAACCACATAATAAAGAAAAAGATAATTATGAGCACAAAATTATTAGAAGTGGACAAAAGTTCTTAACTTAAAACTAAGTGATAATATTATAGAGCAACTTCAAGAAAAGAAAGGTTCAAGATTGCTTGGCCTAAGTATGGAGTCTAAGAGTGTGAGCCAACCTTCTCCCAGGTTTTGCTTCTTCATTTAACCTTTCCAAACTAATTATATAAACTTTTTAGGATGTGTTTGGGTTGGCTTTTTTAATTACAAAAGTGATTTTAGGAAAAATATTTATTGGCTTTTTGAAAAAACAGTTTTTAAATAGTGTTTTGGTTAGAAAATCAATTTTTTTGCCAATTCAAAAAGCTGATTGAAAAGCTACTTTCAAACACTCAAAACATATTTTTAGTTTATTAGCATTTTAAAAAGCTAATAAGTTATTTTGAGAAGCTAACCCAAACACCCACTTAATCAAGATTAATTATAAAATTAATGAATTCATGTTTTTCTAAATACTAACTAAGATTAACTGATTTACTACGTTTCTTGTAAAGCAATGAAAACAAGCCGAATTTCAAGTGCCCAGAAGGATGGACATGCACCATCACCAAAACCGAGCCTTCTAAGATCGGTAAACCATTTGCAAAATGTGGTGGCAGTGGTTGCTCCTGTGTCACGTATGTTCTCTAATGCTCACACTTTATTTTCTAGGACTATTTTCGATGATTAGGATGAAAGGGCATTCCTGTCTTTTTATACTAACAAGAAACCAAAAACAAATCTTCATCTCACCTTTTTGGTTTGGATAGACAAAAGATTGCAAGTCTCAATCTAGTACATATCAAACTTAATACAATCTAACATCCTGTGACATGTCATGTTATGTCTTGTCCTGCCTTCGTCTTATTATATCATGTGAATGTTCTGTCTTGTCTTATCATGTTTGAACTATAGAAGCGCGATATGATGTTGCAGTGAGAAAAATGTTACAGAGACGGTGGAGAGTACAGAAGGAGCTAAAGTATTTTGCGAGTGTGGTGAAGGTTGGTCTTGTGTTGTAACCAAAACCGAGGGGTCTGAAGCTGGAAAGACATATTTCGAGTGTGGTGAAGGTTGCATATGTGTGATAGATGAAACAAACACTGTGAAGGTTGTATGTGCTTGAGTTGCACTATTATCTCAATCGTTGCAACATGAAGGATCAAAGATCACATAAATGGTGTAATCCGCTATTAAGTTTCTTCAAAATATTGTGTTTGTGTTAAGTTTGTATTTAGCTAGTATGTTTGTGTCATGTAACAAGTATGTGAAGTTTGTGTTTTTCTGTTATTTGTACACCTTATAGTGTTAAGTATATACTATTTAGTAACTGATATATCGTGTATAGTAAAACAGATATCAATGGAGAACTAAAATATGTCATTGTTGTCTCTTAATTATGGAGTTGCAAATGCATAATTAGTTAATTACATGGGTAATTGGGTATATTACCACTAATCAATGAGCTTAGTTTCAAACTTTTCTGAATCTGAAATATCTTACACTGCAATCTATATGAAGGTTTATTCAGACCACAAAGCAACTTCAGTTGCTTCTTCAAGAAATTGTTGAAAATGGAATACAGATATAGCAAGAATAAGCACTCCTTTCTGCAAATAACACATTTTTCAAGAATCAATAGGCTAAATTACCAGAAAGAGATCAAATTCAGATTGTTTATAGATATGGAGAATTTATGATTGCACTGATTTCATAAAGTTATATCAAAAACAGTGAATCAGTTGGGAAGAAGTAATATTCTTACGATAAACAATGATAATTCGAGTACCAATTACAGTAATCTCGAAGCTAATACAATTGCAGTTCCTTAATGAAATTGTAAGGCCATGAATTCAGGATTTAAAATCAAACCTTCAGAGTTTTCATCTAAATTGATGAACAAAACAATGTAATCTGCTCACGGAAAGTCCGATCCTTCGGCCTCAAATCCCTCCGAACGTAACCCTTAGCCACTTCCTGACTAAACGACTCAAATCCCTCCTGTCCGTTCCTCCGCCACATATCCTCCGCAAAACTCCGGTGCGCATAATACGCCTCAGCACGTACCGCCACTCGACGGCCACCGCTACCAGCATCACGAATTTCCGGAGAAACAGTAATCGGAAGCCTCTCGTAATGTCCAAGGGTAATGCCTTCAAGCACATCGAGGCGTTGAAGTCCAGCGTCCGAAACAGAGTAAAGTTCACCACGGACCCGGTGGCGACCTGTCCCAGGGAGGTTGAGGAGGAACGGTACGCCATGGGGACCACGGACGAGAGGTAGGTGGAGGTCGGTGATGTAATTGCCTATGAAAACGGCGTCGTTGCTGGAGATTAAATCCTGCATCAAGGTGTGGTTAGCGAATCCTCGTTTGAGAGTGCCGTATGAAAAGATTAGGGTTTGTTTGGGTGGATCGACGGCGTTGCCGGAGATCGTCATCTCTTTCAGGCGACCACAAAGCTGCTCAGATAGGGTGACGGCGAATAACAATAAAAGAGTGGACAAAATTTGTTTGGAGTTGCCGGATGTTTTTGTGTAGCCCAATATTGTGAGCTTTCTAATCCAGGGTAACGTACAAGTTTTTTAAAGGAATAAGAATTATTTAATCGAGAAACACAAATTTCAGCTTTTCAGAATGTGAAAAAGTAGATTTTCTATTTTGTTCTCGTTTTCCCATACATCCAATAGTCACCCGAGTAAAATATTCGGATACCTATAAGTTTCCACATCATCGTATGTCATTTTATAATAAATTCACTATACTTTTGTCTTTTGGGATAGTGTTGATTAGTGAAGAACAATGAAAAAAGTGAGAGAAAGAATATAAAAAGAGAGATGGACATAAATGAATTGGTGAAAGTCCATATAGTCACCACTCCACGAAACAACTATTAGATTGTAGGATGGTGTTTGCTCATTCACATTGAATCTACATGGAATTCTTATATGTGAAAATGCATCCATACCTCATGGATCGACCATATGACATAAATAATGTACGGAGAGTGTAGTTTACAATCATATTTAAAAAGAGACAATTTTATAAATGGATCTTTGTGTTTTTTAAAAACTTGCATTGTTAGGAAAAGGGTAACAAAGACAACCAATTTTTTTAGGAAGCCATAATCAGGTGTTCGGTTGTATTGAAGTTGGTAAGATGATTTATAATTTTGGTTGGGAGTGATGGTTTGATTGTGAAGATAGGTGTTTGTGTGAAAATCATGTTCCAAAAAAAAGTTGTGGAATTGATGAGTGAGCAATAAAAGTAAACCCTTTTCAACAATGATATGATTTTGACATTCAACGGCTCCGTTTTGTTCGAGTGTGTGGGGACATGAAAGTCTATGGGCAATATCATAGGTGCATAAGAAGGTGAATACATTACAGAACTCACCACCCTAATCGGTTTGAAGATATTTTATATCAGAATTAAATTGGGTGTTAATCATTTTTCTAAATTGAACAAAGCTAGAAAAAAAAAAACTTTGAGATTTGTGAGATAAAAAGTAAATCCATACAAACTTGGTGCACTCATCAATAAAAAGAACAAAATAGTGATGCCCATTCATAGAAAAAAATCGGGGAAGGACCTTAATCGTCCGAGTACATTAAATCAAAATATTTATGAGATGTAACATGAGAAGTAAGAAGATGAAAATGATGGCTCTTGCCAAGTTGACAAGATTCACACATGGCTAGAAGTTTATTTGAACTAAGAGGAAGTTGGAAGGAAGGGACTAAGCGTTGCAAGATCGGTTTATGAGGATGTGCAAGTCGTTTGTGTCATCCGTGTAAGTTAGTACGAACACCGAAAAGATCAACCATGGGTTTATTGAGTGAAGAAGGAAGGCGATATAAACCATCTTTAACGTCTTAGCAGATAAGTGTTTTTTCCTGAAAGGTCCTAACATAATAAGAATGAGGCCAAAATTCAATAAATATTTGATTGTCATTTGTGATTTTATAAACACTAAGTAGATGTTTTGTGAGTTGAGGAACAACAAAAACATTAGACAGCTTAAGATGATGCAGTGATCATGAACCCATATGAGAAATAGACAAATGTTTTCCATTACCCACTTGAAGTTTGTCTGGTCCTTGGTATATCTGGTAAGGCATGATAAGTTGCTCCAAAATCAAAGTACCAGGAGGGATCGACAAGGGTTAAGGGGTTGTTGTAAAGGGCAAGATTAGCTTGGCGTTTTAGAAGTGGTCGTTGGGATAGGTGGTAACACCCTGTTTCGAGATGTTTCACAATTTGGGGTCGTAACCCGAAGATCAAGTATCATAAGGCTTCGGGCTTTGGCGGAAGAGAGATTTAGGCCCATTTGGATGTGGGTTATGTAGCTATGTGATCCAATAGTTCAGTTTGGAATGAAATTCGCTTTAGAGTTAAAGGGTAAAATGGGAAAGTAATATTTCGGACGTCTTTTATGAGTTACGTATTTTAGTTAGATATGTTTTATGTCAAAAGTAATTAGATATGGTTGTAGAGCTCCTCAATACCTTTCCGTGGATATAAAGATCGTTGAAAACAGAGTTGGAACGAAAAAGTTATAACTGTTTGAACTTTGGGCGGTTTTGGATTGAGCCACGTACGATGTGTCACACCCCCAAACCGGAATGGCGGAAACGTTTGGGGGTGGAGGACGTCATGCGTAGTATCACAACAATTGAATAATAGTAATCAAAGCAACAACAACCATTGTATTAGTAGTAATATGTTTACATTGTATATGAATTATACATGATTGACACCAAAAGTAAATAACAAGTAAAGACTTGAAGCTACTATGCTCCATCTTCTTGAACCTGGTGCGTATACCTGTCTACTAGTGTCCTGATAATACAAGTAGGTTTCGAAAGAGTATCAGCATAAAGCTGGTGAGTTTATAAGCATTTTGTTTTAGAAAACTATTCTTTGTTCTTTCGAAAAGCACATTATGTTTCTCCTGAAAACCTTATATTTTCTGATGAAATGTCACACCCCAAAACCACGAACGGCGGAAATGTTCAGGGGTGGAGGACGTCATGTACAGTATCACAACAGTGTAAGATAGTAAACAAGCAACAACATCATCCATTGCATTATAAGTAAAGTTTTAATACATGTGTGTTCTTTCATTGTAATAAGACACCAAAAATTCATAATCAAAATAAAAGACGAGACTTGTCTGCTCCGTCTTCTCAAAACCTGGCCACCGTACCTGTCTACTGATGACCTCAGAATACAAGTTATTTTGAAAGAGAGTATCAGCTTTAAAGCTAGTGAATTCATAAGTATTTAAGTGTCATTGTCTTGCTTTGATAAACTGTTATGAATGTCATGTAAAACCTTTGAGTAAGACAGTTGATATAAGTATGAAAAACCCTAAGAAAGCCCTTATTTCCTACTAGTATGAAATGTAGTCTTCTACCAAGACCCGAATGTTTTGTAAGTAAAATGATAGTTTTTCCTTCTTTTTGACAACTACAAACAGTAATTGGTCTAACTCATCGTTTATGTGAATATATCACAAAATAAAGTAAATAGGAAAAATATAACCATGTACGTGTTATCCCTGGATACCAGGACTAACACGCCATCGCAGTAAGCGATATGAATAACCTAATGAACATCCAAAGATTGTCCAATTGTCCTCTTTAGCAGCAGCAGGTTGGAGAAAGGGTTAGTCACGTAGCCGACTCTTAATATAAGTGGTAACCTAATGATCATCCGAAGATTTTCATCTCATCCTCTGTTGCAACAGTAGGATGGAGGAATGGTTAGTTCCGATATCAATCTATCTATTATAAGTGATAACCTTAGACATCCGTGGATGTTCATCACCCAGTGGTGCTAACAGCTGGGTTCCGAAATGGTTAGTCCCGTCTAGACATCCCGTCGAACACGGATAGGCAGGAAAATTTACACAGAAGGTACAAATAAATCTTCCTCGTAACTCTAGGTACAAGTATCTAGGTAAGTGAAACAGTGTAATGTATCTATGTAACAGTACTCATGTATGTTATTCATGTATCATGTAAGCATATGTAAACGTACTCATGTATCATGTAATCATATATAAATGTACTCATGTATCAGGTAATGTACTTGTGTAGACTCATGAATGAACTGACTCTTGTGTGATTCCTTGTAATAGGAATAATGTTTGATATCTTCAAATTATCCCTATGATAATTTACTAAAAGGTAATTGATTATTCAAGTAGGTTTATACACTTTTACTACTCAAGGGTGTGGGAAACTAAATGAAAGATGACAACTATAACATCAATACATATATAAGAATATAAGTGTATATGCATAGTTTAGTTCAAGAATGTAAAATGGTTTTGTAAGACATCTAAGGATTTTGAACAAATATAAAAAGTGACTTGATGTCATTTTGATAAACATTTCAAAAGTAATACATTTGATAACAAAGTATTTTAAAGATAGAAAACCATTTCATGCACCACATTTTGTAGTATGTGAAATCTGTTGAATGAAAAAACAGTTATAAAATACATATAAATGATTTAATAACATGTTGTTTTCTACTTGTATTCCCCCCATTAAATCATTTAAAATCATTTAAAACATTGATTAGGGGTATGAACTCACCTGTAGATGGTGGTTTGGATGAACTGAATGATGTAGGATTGCAAGGTGACAAGTGAAGACTTGTTCACACTCAATGATCCTAGTTAACATATAATCACACATATATGTATCCAATTAGACTTTAAACCACTAATTGAAAATTTTAAGACATCCTAAGGCATGTAAAACACCTTATATAAGTGCTACAAGCCATAAGGATTGCATCTAAGTGCTAAAGGACCTTGCTATTGTGTTTGGGGTTCAAGGGTAAACTCCTTTGGAGTTTACGGATTTGATGACCTTTACCCTAGGAGTTTACGGTAGTAAACTCAAGGGATTATGGTCGTAAGCTCTAAATCTTTTGACCATATGATGACTTGAGGTTTTACAAGTCCTTTGAAGCATTTCTACTTGGTGGTTTGGCCTTTGGAAGAGATTAGGGCATCATTACGCTCCTTTGAGGAGTTTACGGCCTCATGGTCATTTCTCTTTGGGTTTGGTATTTGGTGGGTTTTCAAGTCCTTAGCTTAGTCATGGCAATAGGCTAGGTTAGATTTAGACATAAGGAATAACCATTGAACTTTATGGGACTTTTATGCACTTTTTGGGGTGTTTACGGTTTTGGGAGATCCCCAAACCGTAAACACATAAAAATGGAAGTATTTGGTGCTTTTTGTGTGATAAACTCATTAAGGATGAAGCTAGACAAGTCCCTAAGGCATGGTGAAACATCTAGGCACCTTAAGGCACCACTTTGCACCATAAATAGTGTTTATGGTTTTAGGAGCCTCCCAAAACCGTGAACACCTTGATCTTGGTGTTCTTGGGACTTTTCTTTGATGTTAATATGTACT